GGCTGTGGAGAGAAGCATCCGCTCCTCCGTGTCCCCACCAATTCATGCACTGGGGTCTCCCATTCTCTCTGCCAGAACATAAGGGATGCTTGCACTATCTCCACCCCTCTCTTTACTTTATTTCAGGTCTCTTCAGATAAAATAGGAAGGAATAGAAGAGGCATTCTTGAACTTCAGAGTCCTAAGAACCCATTTAGGGCATCCTCTGCCTCACACCTCCTTACAAGATAACTACAGAGCTAGGCCAGATATAAGCAGATGTTTCTACCACCTAGCAGGCCATCCCCACCCCCACCCCGCTTAAGGTCTCTCTGGACTGGCTTGGCAAGTTGTACAGCAGAATCTCTTTTCTTTCTAGCACTAGAAATGACTACGATGCCACATTTGAGCTTTGTACCATTTCTTAACTGGAAACTTGTCCTGGGCTAGTCCCCTCCCAACCACAAACACATACTCTGAGAGCTGAGTCTGAAGGGGGTGCCTAGGCCATTAAAGAGCCTAATGCTATGCAGAGAGGCCCAAAAGCCTCACCCTAATAGCTTAGTGCCTCTACTTGGACATCTGCGGAATGGCTCTCCCCTTGTCCTTATTGCCTGGGGACATAGCAACTGACCCGTCCCAGAGAGCAGCAGACCGATCTCTTGGCCCTCCCAGGCTCCTGGTAAGGAGCATTTCCGCTATCTGAAAGTTGCCATAAGAAAATAAATACAAGTGACATTGTACTGGGCCAAAGCTCATTAGTTCGTTGTCCAGGCCTAATAAAGGAACAGAAGCGCAAATTATAGAGTTCAGCTTCAACACACGCTCTGTCACCCGAGATCAACGTACCGCGAGCCTGATTCCAATTGCTCCGAACTTGCTGTGCAGTTCGCCCCCACCCCCTCCTCACAAGCAGGAGGTTGGGTGGAAAAATATAGTTCCAAAGGGAGTAATGATCAAGCTTTTCCTCTCGGAAGCCTGCACCACCTCATTTCCCATCAGTAATCCCAATAAAATTAACGTCGTGGCTGCAATTGAAAAGAGGAGAGCTCGCGACACTCCTGAAATAACACAATCTTCCCAGCAAAAGGTAAAAAGCAAAACGGCCCTTTGTTCGGCTAATTAACGAAGGCCCAACTCCGAAAGCACATGTGTTTGCCTAACTAATCACAAGCATGCTTCTTTCAAGGAATGTCATTTTCAGGGGCTACTGGGATAGGGGCTGGAGAGAGGGACACCACCTCCATAAGCCCTTTTTGCCTGGAGGTCTCTCACCCTGGCCTAAAATCCAGAAGGGCAATCCCAGAAGCCCATCTTTCACACCTTTCTTCTCATCCACCCAACCCCAGAGGCCCAGTCAGTAGCAAAGGACCTCCACTACCCTACAGCCAGACCTTCAAGTCACCAGGCGAGGGGGGTTAAGTTTTAATGACACAGATGCCATATTAAATGAGGCAGTTTTACAGTTCAGGTTGAATACGACGACACTAACTTATTACAAGTGTGTTATCAGAAGGACGGTAAGATTTATAACTCCAAGAGTTAGCTTTGTGCCCTAATGACAATGGATGCCGGGGAGGAAATCTGTTCTGGATTAGAGGAGCTGGGAGTCCCAGGTTTTTAAGTCCAAGAGGACCCATACCAGCCTGGCCCCTTTGTGTCTCCAAAGGAAAGGTTCTCCCTTTCCTGTTTCACCAGGAAACTGGCTCTGCTTGTGGGGTTAGCACCTCACTCAGCTTTTCAGCCTGAGTATGAAAGAGAAAATAAGGGAAGGGAGGCAGGAGACTGAATGGGACCTGGGGATGCGGGTGGGATGGCAGACAGGCCTGAGCCCTTCCCTTCCCAGCAGGCAAACTCTTCCCCATCTTTCTTTAGCATACAAAAGATAGCTTTCCCCTAAACCAATACAGTCAACAAACTTTAAAAAACCGGGGTCCTATTACAAACCAACGCCCAGCACTAACTGCTTTAAAATTACTGCATAATTAGATTTAGTTGAATTTCACCATTAATTAGGCAGCCGCGCTGCAGGGAGCCTTTGAAATCTGAGAAAATGGGAAAAAATCATCTGAAGCACGTTTTTTAAAACCCAACTTCAATAAATCTTGACGGGGCCTGGAATTCAGAGGACCCTCCCTTCCCTCCCAGGTGGTTGATAGGGTTCCCCAGGTCTAGACTAGGTTTGGAACTAGATGGGAGAAGACAATCGCCCCACATCGAACCAGAGGGGATAGGTCCCAGTCTAGGTTTTCTGCAGAGGCCTGGGAACACTTTCTGGGAGGCCCCAGCCGCCCATGCCTGCTCACAGACCCATGAGAGGAAGACATTCTTCCTCTGAAGATGCGCTCCAGCAAGTGGCACAGTCCACGAGGGTTCCTATACAACTGGGCCTTGTGATCACCCTCCTGGAAGCCGCCTTAGGCCCCTTCTCGGTTCTACTCTCCAGTGAAATCTCTGTCCGCAAAGCCACCTTTCCCCGAACTTTGATGAGCAAGCAGCAAGCTTATCAATCAGGCAGGGTTCGCACATCCCCCACCCCCAAGCAGGTCCCAGGCCCGCTGGAAGCCCAAAGTAGTCTCTGCTTTAATGTGAGCGGGGAACTGACCTAGGTCTGTAAATACTGGCTTCTCCCCCTCCCCCTATACCATTCAAACACTTAAGATTGTTTGTGGATCCCGATTTTTATTCTTCACATTTGGTTCTGGGGGGGGGACATGAAATCAACTCTCCTGAATATATGGGGGGGATGTCAAAAAAGAGGGGTTAGGTTCCGGGTTACCAACATTTTCTCTACAAACGCGATTGCTTTAATTACAGAATAATCGAGGGCTACTCTTACTCTTGCCAGCCAGAGTTTAAAAGAGGGATTTCTGCCTGCAGACCGAATAGCCTTCAAGTCCCCCCCCCCAATCTTTTTTTTTTTTTTTCTTCCTTCTTTTTGGTAACCAATGTGTTTTCTATTACCCGGCCGTGCGGTGCCTGGCAGCCGGCGCTCGCGGTGCAATGGGAGACGCCATGTTGGCTCAGCTCATAGGACCAAGTCAAAAGCGAGCTTGCAGGCAGAGTTTTCACACGCTCGAGCTCCCCCTGACCGCCCTCCGCCCCCGCTCCCCCGCCCGTCGCCGCTCGGTGCACGTCCCGGGAGAGCAGCTGGGCGCTCTCGGCACCCCGGACTTTCCCGGGCTCGAGCGGAACGCTGCGGCAATGGCAGTGGGGGGCGGGGGCTTGGGGGGGAGCACTTTCCCGCAGCCGCTGCCAACTCCCGACCCGGTCCCCACCGACTGCCCGACGCTACCACCAGGCAGTCGCCAGGGACCCAGCTCTGGACGCCGCCCGCTAACTTTGAGCCCCAGGCCCTCGCCCCTGCCACCTCCCCCCCACCCGCCCGCCCCAGCCAAGCTTTAAGTGAAAGGCCGAGGCAGGGCGACTGCGAGCCGAGCGAACCGGCTAGAACTAACCCCCTCCCCCTCTCCAAGCTCAATCTTCTCCCAGGTTTGTTTGAAAGTGGCAAGAAGGAGCGATCGCCCCTCTCTCTCCTCGGACCATTGTTGCATTTCGCCTCTAACTGGGTCCTCTCACACCACCGAGCGCCAGGAGGAGGGGGAGTGGGGTTGGGAAAAGAAATAAAGCGAGCTCAGATCAGATGTAGGAGGGGGAAAAAACAGCAAGGAAAAAGAGACACTTAAAGGGAAAGAGTCGCCATGTTTAGCAGCTTTTTTTTCTTTCTTTTTCTTTTTCTTTCTTTTTTTTTTTTCTTTTTAAGATCTCGTCAATTTCACACAGAACGCACTCGCTGGGTCCCAGCCCTCGTCTTTTGTCTAATTCAGTCGCAGCAAAGATCTTTTGTTCTAACTCAGCGTGAAAAGAAAAACTTTCTTTAAATGCAATAAACTTAAACCGAACTCAAGACTCTAAACAGATCCTCCTCCGGCCACTCTAACGTATACAAGGGGTTTTGTTTTAACCCGTTGAAAATTTCTGAGTCCTGTTTTTTTCTGCCTCGAAGACCCCCAAGCTCATCGCTGAAACTTAGAGAGAGCCTGAGAGAGATTTTTCAACACCTAGGACACATACTTAAAAGCATAATAAAACAGGGACTGTCTTTTGCTTTGAAAATCATAAATTATAATTTAATGCCAATAATAATTTACAACAAATGGCTGTTTACAATAAGCTAACACAAAACAAACAAGGAAAAGGGCCTATGTTTTACTTAGCAGAGAAACTTCACACACTCACATGGATAGCACTTGCAAGAGAGAAAAATAAACAACCAACAAAACCTCCATCTAAAGGTCAGATGCTGTGCTGTAAAACATACTTTATATTTATATGTATCTACAGAGAGAAGGTGAGGGTCAGATGGAGAGTTCTGCCTAAATCAGGCAGAGTTTTCAGGTCTGCATGTGTGAACCAGAACTGAGCATCCAAGTTTAATGCACTTTACAAAATGATCCTTTTTCAGCCCCCTCCCACATTTTAAGATTAAACCTCAACATGGTAAAAGTAATGTCAGGGAGGGCAGCTTGGAAAGTCTAAATAAGAACAAATTGTAGGCTCCCAGCACAGAGCTTTTTACAAACCAGGAAAAGAGAATGAGGGACTGGACCAAACAGTAGACTTCCCAGACCAGCACACCCTGTGAAGTTTTTTTGTTTTTGTTTTTAATATTCTCTCTCTCTCTCTCTCTCTCTCTCTCTCTCTCTCTCTCTCTCTCCCTTTAAAAATTGGCTTCTAAGAACGAAGGATCCCAAGAGCAGTACAGATTGTATTTATACAATCTGAAATGTCCAAATGTCCATGGATTTGTATGTACATAACTCCAATGGAAAAGATTCCCTTGACCTGTGGTCATGCTCTCACAGACTGAAGAGGGAGGGGGAGGGGAAAGGCAGACCAACTGCAAGTTATCATATATACATGAAAAACAGACCCTTCATCGCTAGCAGCTACATCACTGTATTCAAAATCCTCTCAACAGCCAAGCTAGATGAGAACCACAGATTTTTTTTTTTAAAAAAAAATCACACTTACTTAAGGAAAAACTCATTCCGAACAACTGCTCTCTATTTACAGTGCTGTGATTAGCTTGCTTGACCAATCCTCTGTATAACTGTCAGAAATCTACAAAAGAGCATTTTTTTCTTTTTTCCTGATCATAAAATAGATACTGATCTCGAGATTTCTAATACTTTTCACAATACCATCCCTAAGCAGGCACTTAAGTGTGACAAATATAAGGGCCTCTTTTTTTTTTTTTTCTCCTGGAAAATCCATTTTTAATTAAAAGGAGGATTAGGTGAATGGGGGTGGCTTTACTATATCAGTGTGGCACTTCCTAAACCATAGATAAACCATTAACTTCAACTCCCCCCCCCCATACACACACCCAAATTAAACAGGCAAATACACTAGTCTACCTTTGAGCAAACTGACTGAGGGGAGTAAACAAACGGGGCCGCTGGCTCAGGGAGAACTCACAGGGGCTCAGCTTGATGGAAAGACAGTGAGTGGGGACAGCCAAGCAGGTTTCAGATATCAAATAATATTTTAATTTCTGAATACTTTCAATTTTCCTTGGAATATAACACACAAAGACTCGACCAAACAGTTCAGTTATTATAACTTTTACAGTATACAGAAATGTTGCACTTAAAAAAAAACCTTCAGTTTTTTTAAAAACACAAACTGTAAACTCTAAGATACTGAATCAATCACGTTACCTATAAGTGCCAACAGTGTTATTTTGTCATGCTGATTTCAATGGTATTTTTTAAAAAGGGGAAATATCAACAATTATAATACAAAGGGCTTGCAAATATACAAACAGATATAGGATTCATAACAATTCAAGAACTAAGAGGGGGGGACCCAATTCAAATTACAAAAGTTCACTTTTTATTCAAAACCTCAGCTTGTGTCTTGGACACATTTCTTGGCTGCCAATAAATTCCACAGTTCCTTCTCTTTCTTAAAATATTTTTAAAAAGCTAAGTTTTTCTTGGTATGGGGAGGGGGAGGGGAAGCTGTGTTGCATGTGATCCCTCCAACTTGCTAATTAGAGTGCTCAACTTCACCTAAAAAATTTGGCCACCACTTGTAAGTGCGTTTCCATCATCGCTGAGTTGCCTTTTAAAGTTTTATGTCTTCCTATGATAGTTTCATGGACTCAGTTTTAATTCTTGCAGAACATATATTTTAATGATACACAGTTTTTAAGAAGCCAAGATTATATCAAAACTTATTATAGAACCACAGAATAAACTGGTTTGGAACCAGGAAAGTACAAAAAAAGGAAAAAAAATAAAGAAAGAAAGAAAGAACAGCTAGAGGTACATAGACACAGGACAATTAATAATTTGGGAAAAAAAACTTACTTTGTCCATTCTGCTAATTTTCTCTCAAACTCCTTAAATGCACTTTTAGCAGTATTTTTCAAAAATTTACCAAAAGGAAAAAAAAAGACTAATTCCTTTTTATACAAAAATGATAAGTAACAAGTTGTTCTGCCCAACACAGGAGTTGTTTTCTTTTTTAATGCATTTTGTAAAGTTCCTTTGACAGTCTCTCTCACTCTTTTTTGAAATTCACAGTCCATTAAATTCTTCCCCCTCTTCTTTTAGCAAACTTGTAACATCCTTTCTTAACAGAAGGAAATTAAGCAAACAAAACCAGTCTTTTGCCTTTTCTTTCTCTGTTTCACTCCCCCTTCTTATTTTGATTTATTTATTTATTGAATTGCCATATACGGCCAGTTAAAACTGCTGCCGGACAGTAACATATCCCGGATGAGGGTTTCGATGGGGGTTTTACCTACCAAACGGACGAAAAACAATTGCTCTATGACTGAGGAGGAGACCGTGCGGAGGGAAGGGAGGCGAAGCAAAAGCTTTCCGAACCGCGTTGGCTGGTTGGGGTACTGGCTCCTAACGTACTCTTCCAAAGCACACTGGGACTTTTCCTGCAAGCTTTCCACATGGGCTACATCAGACAGACCACAGGCATCTGGAAGAAAGTTTAAAAAAATAAAAAGTGGGGAAAGAGGGAGAGAGAGAATTCATCAGATTAAGAGGCTTGAAATGGGTCACCTGAGATGTGCACTCAGTACTCTGTCAAAGTAACCCATCTAGAGTGGGAGCAAATGCCTATACACTGAAAACTTCAAGGGGGAGGAGGGAGGTGACAAAGCTTGAGATGGTCCGGGAATGTTTACTAAAACAAACAAACAAAAACACTGCTTGGGTGCTACAGGGTTTCACTGCTTTAGTCCTCAGGCTGGGTCACACTGGGAGGCCCAAGAAAAGGTATATTGGTGTATCTGGCCCTATTTAGTACATAGACAGACAGACAAAACCAAAACCACCAATGCTTGCTTCTTCCCCCATCCTCTGAATTTGGCTTATTATATAGTGTGTATAGGAGGAGGGGTGACAACCTGGCCCAGCTTTCAGTAATGGCGTCCAAGACCCAGCCTCAGATTCTCCCAAAGAGAGCGACTCATTTTTCCATAGTCTTTGAAACTGATTTAAGTGGCCCTTTAAAACTGATCTTGTCAGTTTAGCCTATTGAAGGGCAGCCATGCAAACTGTGATCTCTCTGTTCATTTGAGCTGTTTCTTTCCCCTCCTTTTCTTCTCTCTCCCTTTTCTCCCACCCCCCCCTTTTTTTTTAAGCCCAGGTCTCTCCAAGAATCATCCTCCTTCCTGTTATCTTCAGGAAAACACTTTTCTTTTTTCTGATACGTGAAATTACAATAAGTGCCTTTGAAATGAGAGACTTCTTGGTGAAGGCAGTTCAGGTTGTGACCTGACCTTTCAGGGCTTCCCAGACAAGACTGGGGTTAACACATGCATACTGTGAATCATTAAAACAGATATTCAAAAACAGTCACCACCACCTCCACCCCTACCACCAGAACACACATGCATCCTCCTCCCCTGTGTCCAGGATTCCGTGTGGTGTCTACAGATGCCTAGGTGTCTGTGGTCAGGAATGAAAAGATCTGTTTGTCTAGGACTCCTTCCCTCCTCATTGGTACTGCGTGTCTCCCTCGGAATCAGATAACAGGAACCTTTATCTCTTTGTGAGGCCATCTGCATTCTCCATACAGGCCTGCACATCTTGCAAACAGTAATAAATTAAACTGTTTCAACAGTACCAGGCATTTCTTTCCTTGAAAGACCAGGGATAAAGGCAAAGAACTAACAATGATATCAAGAAATTAACAGCCATCCCCATCATATGAGACCATGGGCTGGGTATCAGGTTATGAGAAGGGGGTGAAGGTGGTTATGGGATAGGAACAGTGTGCCCCTACATTTGTGGCAGTCAGACACTCTAGACATGGTATGCTCATGAGAAGAGTACACCAGATTCAATCCTCTCCTGGCTTGGCCAGAGTGCTGCCCTCTGATTGATTATCTAAGGACTTTGGAAGGTAGGGTTTGGGGTGATGGGGGGTGTTCTGTGAGAAAAACAGTAACTCATACAAGACAGCAGGTTGAGAATGAGCCTGCAATAGACTCCACTAAAGATTTCTTTAACAAGAAAGAAGAAACTGTGGCCCTCGTAACTGTTTGTCCCATAAACTCACACATCTTGTCTAGGTTTCTCACTGTAAGCTTACAGATCTGGAGTGGGTGACTAGGTTCCAGGCCCTGCCACTGTCCAAATGTTTGTTATTCTTAGTCAGGAACCCTGTTCTCTGATCAGCCATGACAAAGGAATCAGCTGACAACTTAGTACAAGAATGTGAAGGGTGGGGGTGATTTCCGCCCACCTGGGCTATGGCTGAACTGAGCCTGGAGGCAGCCAAAAGGCTCAGGTGTGGCCCGAAATGGAAAGCCAGACACTTTCAAAAATCATTTGGCCTCAAGAGTTAATGAATATCAGATCTATTACTCACACAAGTTAAACTACATGCAAACTAATTAGATTTCCTAATGCAGTCAGTCAATGATGGTTTTATATCTCCAGCAACATTCATAACCAGCCCAAGTTGGCACACACTTTGGGTTGCTTGAAAATTGCCTTAAGTGTTTGCCTGAACAGGGGAAACCAGAGGCCAGCCTTCTGGAATTATGGTAGTCCCTCAGCCCCTCTGGCCTCTTTCTGACAGCATTCCCTCTTCCTGGCAGTCTGTATGAGAATGTGATTTTGAAAACTGCTGCTCTCAGGTTAGAGTTGCCTGGAGCCCCAAGTCCTACTGAGTTCACAAGCAAACTTTCCCCCTGCAGGAACAAACTTTCTCCCACAGAGATGATGCCAGGGCTGCAATGTGCCCAGGGGCATCTCTTTGAGGTGTCAGACTGGGTGCAAAAAAAAAAAAAAAAAAAAAAAAAAAAAAAAAAGAGCTTGAGGAGTTTCCCTGGGGCCCTGGGGCAACTAGGCCCGAAGTGCCTGGGCTTAGGGAGGAAGCAGGAGAATGTATTCCAGGTTGGATGCTGAGGGAAAAGAAAGGGGCCTGAGAGGCCTAAGGCCCCTCTGGGAGTCAATGTATTGAACACCCTTCTGCACACCAGGACAAGCCAGCAGTTCTATCAAGTTCCCACTCCAAAAAATAATAATAAAAAATTAAAAAGTAAAAACACTCTACAGTTTGACCTTTTAAGAGGGAAGTTGGGCTGGACACTTTTCCAGGCTCTAACACTGCCCTGGGATTTCTTGGGTACCGAGAACAAGTCTCCATCCTACCTGAGGTGAACAGGACTATGGCCTTGAGGCAGCTGTACTCGGCAGAATCGACGTGCAGTGCCTTCAGCTTCTCCACTTGCTCTTGGAAGATCCTTATGTGGTCCATAAAGGCGACCACTCGGTCTGCCGACATGGGTGAAGCGTGCAGGCCAGCAGCGGCAAGGAGCGGGGCGACATGGAGGGGCATGGAGCACTGTGCTGCATTCAACACGAACAACTCGCTCCAGGTGAGGCGAAGGAGGGCCACCTGGTCCGTGATCTGCAGGTCAGGGAAGAAGGGGATGTTCCGGGCCCACTCAACGGCGCTGAAGAGCATCCGCGCGGCCAGTTCGCAAATGTTCTCGATGCCCATGATGTTGTTAGGCTGCATGCACTGGCTGCCGAAGCGAGACGTAGGGTAGGGCTCAGCGCGCAGCAGCAGGGAAATATATCCGGACAGGTACGAGTGGCAATTGAGGGGGTCCCCGTTGGTCAGCGCGAACTGCCCGTGGGTAGGCTGGGTGGGCGGCATCCTGCCCCTCTGGACAGCTGCAGGGAGGAAAGGGGACACTCCACAGTTAATGATTAGCCTTGATCTCGCATCCTTCTACATGACCCCAACCTGTCCAAGGCCCCAGAACAGCGCCAAGAACCAGACAGGCCTGCTACAGCCGGGCCCGGCAACCACTCCAAATCACCACCCAATCTAGCTCTGATCGCCAGAGCTCAACACTTGCCTGTGAGGCCCATCTGGGCTGCTCTGCTGAGAACCCAGAATTGGTCACTTTGCCTGGGGGTCACCTCAGCTGTGAGCGGAATGTAGCATTCGGGGGACACCTTTCTTACCCCCCCCCGCTAAACAGCTGATATTTCTTATTGATTAGAGAAGGGACGCGAGTGGAGTATGGGGGGAGGGGGAGACGCTTTTTTTTTTTTTTTTTTTTTTAACCAGACATCAAGGTTTACCCCAGATGGCCTGCGGCCACTCCAGAACCACTGTACCGAAAGCATGTAACCCCAACCCCAGCCCAGGAGGGAAACCCCAGCGAGAGACAGAGTCTAGGTCCCACGTCTTTGCCTGATCAGTGAGCTCGGAGGAGCGGAGACAAGGGAGAGGGCGGAGAAAGAGAGGCCGGCAGAGACGAGAGGAAGCCGGAGAGAGGCAGGGAGCCCGCTGTGGCAGGGCGCTGGCAGAGCCCGGGCAAGGCCCGTGACCGCCAGGGAAAGCCAGAGAGGCTCAGGCTCCTGCTGTTATCTGACTCTGGACCGAGAGAGTCGCTCTCGCAGAAACACAAAGAAACCCGGCTTTGGCTCGCCCCAACCCGGAGCCCGCGCCCGGCGCGGAGCGCGCCATTGGTAGAGCACTGTTCCCGGCTCTGGGCGAATTTTCTATCACAAAGACCCAACTGGTGCAGAGCGAAAGCAGCGGCCCAAGGCCCCTTGCCCACACTTTCCTACTCCCTACAGTGCTCTCTTCGTTTCAAAAGTGAAAGGAAAAAAGAAAAAAAAAAAAGAAGAAGAAAGAAAAACAAGAGGTTTTGTTTTTTAAGTAGAATGTTAATCCACGGAGGGGGGTCACATGAGTGCTGCCCAGGAGGCAGCGTTAATACGGCGAAGTGCATAAAATTGCCATTTGTAATTTGAACCTTCTGTACAAAAGTACAATCTCAGGTTTTTTTTTTTTTGAGAAGGTGGGGGTTGGGGAGTGGGGTAAGGAGGAGGGACATATGTTAAACATGCAGGAAAGGCAAGGAAAGAGAAAGAGACAGGACTTTAAAACAACAACAAACAACAATCCACCGCTTGCAGAAAGGTGAACTCGAATGAACTCTCAAATCAATGCAATGGAAAGGAAAAGCAGCTTGAAAAGAGTGGACAAGGAAAGTCTGCTAAAGCATGCCGACTGAAGGGTGGGGGTGGGGGTGGTCTGGGCTGCAGTGCAGACCCTGCACCAAATCCCCTTTGGCTGCACCACGTAGAGCTTGGGGCTTCTGTGTCCTTACCCATAGCAGGCTAGCCAAACGCACCCAGGGCCCCAGGACCGCGGGCGAAGGGGGGGAGAAATGAGAAGCCGATACCTTCCCGTCTCATGCCCACTTTGAGGCACTTTTTGAGGCGGCAGTACTGGCACTGGTTGCGGTGGTGCTGGTCGATGGGACAGTTCCGGTTGGCGCGGCACGTGTAGCTCAGGTTCCTCCGCACGCTGCGCTTGAAGAAGCTCTTGCAGCCCTCGCACGTGAACTGGCCGTAGTGCTTGCCGCTTGACTTGTCCCCGCACACCACACACTCGATGTGCTGCTGCTGCTGCTGCTTGTCGCTGCCGGGGCCGCCAGGACCGCCCTGGCCGCCAGCCGCTGTCTGGGCCGGCGTGCTGGCCGGGCCCCCTTGGCCCGGCGTCTGTGGCGTGTGCGGGGCGCCAGGCGGCGGGCCCGGCACGGGCGGCGCCTGCGAGGCCTGGCTGCCCTGAGAGCCGGGCACCTCGTCCTGGGGGTCGCGCCACGTGCTGACTACCATTGCCATATCTATGGGGGCTGCGTCCGGACTTCTGCTCCCCTGGCTGCGGGCGGCGGCGGGGTGGCGGCGGTTCCCGGGTCTCGGGCTCCGGCGCGCCGCCTTTTGTGTATGCGAGGGTGCGAGAGGGCGCGGGAGGGCGCCCCGGGTGGCTCAGGGCTAGTTGATTGAGGTTGGTTAGTTTTTCCTTTTTTGTTTTTGCTTTTGCAAAGTTTTGTCGATTGCTTGTCTGGCCCGGTGTGTTTGTTTTGTTTGTTTCCCTCGGCTCAGCTTTGTTGGTTGGGGGGGGGGGCTTTCCGTCAAGAGGGGAGGGCAAGAGGACAGGGGAGAGAGAGTGGGAGCAGAACGTGGAGAGAGGGAGGGGAGGGAGAGCTGCAAGTCGATTGTCTGGCTTCAAGACAGAAGTAGGAGGCAAAAAAAAAAAAAAAATCTCTCCAAAGATCTCGCTCGCTCTCACTCTCCCTCCCTCTCTCCCTCTCTCGTTCACTCTCTCGCTCTCAGATCTAGAGTGCAGCTGAGGAGTTGGAGGAGGAGGAAGAGGAGGAGGAGGAAGAGGAGAAGGAGAGGCGACTGTCCGGGGGCCAAGTCCAGGGCAGCCCACAGTCAGCCATTCAGGAAAGCCATCGAAATCAGGAGCACTGGGAAAGCGGAGGCGCCGGGCGCGGGCGCGCCCTGGGAGCCAGGCAGGCCGGGGCGGAGGCCGGCGGCCCGCGGAGTGGCCGGAGCTCTGCCCGGGTCCGGGGGAATCAGCATGAAAGTGGTCCGCGTCCGGCGCTGCGCGGCGTCGTCCTGGCGCTGGGCCGCCGCTGCCTCCTGCCCCGGGCGCCTGGCGCGCGCCGCGCTCGCTCCGGACGCCGCCGCCGCCGCTCTTGGAGGCCGCTCGCTGCTCCCCGTGGGCCGCCCGGGCCGCCGCCGCCGCCGCCGAAGCCTCCGGGTCGGGCCCGGAGCCGCCGCGTCTAGCGCCGCCGCCGCCGGTGGAGTCGCTGCTGCCTCTGCTGCCGCCGCCGGAGCTGCTGCTGGTGCTGCTGCTGCCGCCGCCGCCTCACACACATAGGGAAAGAGTCAACTCGCCGGCGGCGGGGGAGAGATGATAAGAGAGAAAGGAGGGCAGATCAGCACCTAGAAGCGCATCCTTCGTGCGCAGAGGGGGGAGAAACGGAGAGAAAGAATGAAAGAGGGAAGAGCAGCCCGGCAGCCGGGGAAAGGAGGCAACTCCGGCAGAGGAGGAGGAGAAGAAAACACACACGCGCGCACGCACGCACACACCGCGGAGAGAAAAGAGCAGAATCAAAGTGATCAAATATGCTAAAAAGGGGGGCGCGGGAGGGAATGCGATTTATAGGCGCCGGGGCTGGCAGAAGTGGCTTCTCCGCGATCAGCTCACTGAGCTCTCTATATAGTGAACTTTGACACGACTGCTGCAACTTAGCGCACGTTACCATGGCGACGGCGCGCCTTATAAGGCAGCCGCCGGGGTTGGCCTGGCCCGGCGCGCGCGCGCCGCCCCCTCGCCGTCATTGGCCGGAGCGCGGCGGCCCCGCCATGGCGGCAGCGGGAGCTGCTCGGTCCTAGTGCGAGAGCTATCTCGATTGCCGCGCGGGGCGCACGGGGACTGAGGGGGGCGGGGAGGGGTGGCCGTGCCGCCCGGGCGAGCGACTGGGGGATGGGCCCCGGCAGGCCCGGGAGCGCGGACCCCGTTCGTCCCGCACCCGGCACCCGAGGTGACCGCCCCAGCGGCGAGGCGAGCGCGCAGGGCACACACTACGCCTCTTAAAGGCTCCTCGAGAGGTTGAGGATGGAGACTAAGACTTTAGTCTCTTGCAACTTGGTGTTGCCATTAAATGCGCGGCTCGCGCTCCACCCGGGGCTCTGGCACGTTAGGTAGAGCCCGCGAAGCCAAAGACGGATAGTGTTTCCCTCTTCTTTGTAGAGGGGTACACAGCGGAGGTGATAAGGTGCCGGGATCTGAGCTTGTAAAAGAAAGATTTGGCTAGTCCCGTGTGGTGGCAAGTCCTTTGCTTAATGAACTCTCATCACTTGCTCTGTTTGGTAGCTCCTTTTTTGTTTGTTTTATAGGAAAAGAAGCCGTTCAATATCTGCCTTTTTCTTTGGAGGGTTAATATTTTATAGATTTGTGGCCTGACATTTTAATTGCTCAAATGAAGGATCTCGGATGCTGAGAAGCACAAGTAGACTTCACCTCATTGTCATGACGGAATTAAAATAAATTCCCCTCAACTTCATTCTCTCTCATTGGTTTTAGCTAGCTGGCCAGCCAGTGACCTGTCACACACCCGGTCATGAAAAGAGGGAGAGAAAGACCTTTCTGTCCGCTGATGGACAGGCGGAGGCAGCCGCTTAGCCTCGCTTGTGCACAGCTTCTGTACACACATGTAAACGCACATGTATCAGATGCGCATTTGTCAATGTACACAGACAAAGACGTCCAAGACGATGCTTTGAGGTCATAGAACAGTTGAATACGGACTTCATTGTTCAAATTCTCTTTAAACATCCATATAGTCATTAAAACACACCCAGAGAGCCTGCTCCAAATTGGAAATAATACCAGCATAACTCACAAGAACCACAAACAAGCCATAGTCTTCACCCCACAGTCTATGTCATTTTGCCCAGGATGCTCAAACCTGTGTCTTTGAATGTGTGCCCGAGTTTTAAACATCAAATATATAGAACCACCCCCCAGGACACATTATATTCCACTGGCTAAACTTGCTGTTTGATTAGGACCAGTTAGTTGATTGTGAGGACTCCACACTTGTATGGGAAATTTGTGTTTAATAGGGAATACTTTGCACCAAGTCAAAACTAAAATCGTAAGTCAAACAGGTTTACCAACAATGAAATTATTTTTTACACAAAAGATGCTGAGCTGCTGGGGAAGGGGGACACTACAAAGAGCAAATTGGCAACTTCAACTTCTGAAAATCATCTTTGACAGCATAAAATTTTGGCAATATTAAAGTTACTTTAATAAAATAAACCGGACATGTAATTGACATGGGTAGACTGCACTTTCAGGCAGTTTCTTTTACACATACAGGCAGAGCATGAGAAGACGAGCACATGAAGATGAGGGCAGACAGAAGCTGGCTTTTCGGCAAGGAAAAAAAAAGAATATATATATATATATATATATGTATACATATATATATATTCCTCCTTAGCCTTCTCTTTCTCTAGTGAAATCACATATTGCACTGAAAGATCATATTGCTGTGGTTATTTGAATGTTTTAAGAAATAATAAGCTGTAGCAGGTACTAAACTATCATAAACCTGGTGTGTTAAATAAGGTGGCCACAGAGTAAAACTGGGCTGAGCCTTGCTGGCTGATTAGAGATACCACATAACTTTCTCCTACAGAGAACAAGAAAGAAAGATGGAAAATAAATCATTTCAGAGAAGTCTGGGATTTTTCTTTTAATTCCTGTTTTGAGGAATTATTTGATCTTGCAAATGTCAGATTATACAGGGAAGTTCAGCATATAGTGAGACTGAGGATGACACAGGAAATCTAATAGGTATTCCCATCTTGGTTTAATAGATGAGCATAATTGATTATAGAGAAATGTTAATCTTGCCTCTCCAAGTGCAGCCATTTTCTTGGCAAGATTACTTTTTGCACACACACAGAGATGGTTTTTGAGGAGAAGCTTTGCACATACACACACACACACACACACACACACACACACACACAGAGAGAGAGAGAGAGAGAGAGAGAGAGAGAGAGAGAGAGAGAATTTGAAGGCTGTAATTTCTTTAGGTAGAAAAATGAAGAATTTCCCACGAACAAAACTGCAGCCAGTTAGACACATGGCCACACAGCTACCATCAAGTCAGGGCTGATTCATTTGAAGGCTCATTTAGCTATAAAAATGCTGTTTAAAGGGGGGGGGAATCACTATATAAATTATAGTTAATTTTACTACGTGGATGGAGAGACAGGACAGCTGGACTGAAGGGTTAAAAAAAAAGCAAAAATATTTTTAAATACCTATTTCAAGGATGATCAGTTGTCTTAACTCTAAGATTTAAAAGTCCTGATTAAAAGATACATATCTACATATTATTTTTAAAAACTCAACCAAGCCTTTTACTGCAAATGTAAATTTATTTTAATGAGAATTGTGGCAAGCTTTATTTGTCTGTTCGAAGTTAGGGAAAAACATTTGTCTTAATCTGGGAGGAAAAAAATCCCCAACTCCCAGGAATATGGTTCCTTGCAGAAAGTGGTTGGCTGTAATTCTTTACAGATTAAATCACAATATGAATACAGACCCCAGCAATGCCGAGTTTAACTCTGAGCTCAGTAGAATCCAGCATCCATTCAATTTCTCCTTTCCCTCAATCTAGTCGTGTGTGTTTCTCTCTTCCACCACACTGGAGTTCCGTGAATAGGGAAGGGGCTTCCATTGTGTCCCTCTGAACTTCCAAGTCAATGCAATTTTTAACCACTGGCTTGTGGTACTTTGAAAATCACCAGGGGCTGTCAGAGTTGGGTCCTCTGAAAAATTTACAGTGCTAAATCAGAGCATATGCTGGGAGGGAAAAAAATTGCTTAAGATTGGAGCAAGTACAGTATCTGTCTGCCCCCTAGTGTAAGAGTCCTCGCTGCCTAAAATCCAACTTTAAAAGAAAAGGAGCCCTTAAAGGGAAACGACTTGGGGCTCACGTAGGCATAGGAGAATGAAACTTCTGTACATTTTAATCTGAATAATTCTTCAGGATTTAAAATTATTTGGCTGTGGCTTAGTTGGACTGCACTGGGATCTCGCTGCCTCTCTACGTTTCTCGAGTCACTGATGAAGAGGTGATTTTTTTTTTTTTTAAACTGGGTTTATGAGCATCCCCCTCACCCCTCCTCTCTTTTTCTTTCTGCCTCTGTCGTCTCTCTCGCTGGCTTTTCAAAAATGAGGAACCGTTCTAAGACCATTTTGCACACAGCACAGAATTGCTTCTAAAGTCAGCCCGGCGCGGTTGCAATAGACAGCAAAAAGGTAAACCGTTTGCCTGAAATCCGCACGTCCGCTCCACCACCCAGCCCGATGGTGAGTACCCTTCTCCTTGCGATTCTCCTAGCTTAGCAGAGCCTTCGCCTTCAGGAACTGCAGCCGAGGGCGCCGGCAAGAGCTTTGGTCCCAGCCAGCCCGCCTGCCCGCCCGCCTGCTCGCCCGCCTGCGTGCCTGTCAGCTGCACAAGGTTGCAAAATGAAGCGCAGAGGCAAAACGAACGGGAAATTCTGATACCTAAAGTCAGAATAGCAGCCCCTTTGCTAACAAACCCTGCTTGGACAACCAGGCTTCTAGGACTGGTTTTGGTCAGTTCTATGGAAGGAAATGAGTTTGAAAAGACAGGATGAGGAGATGGGAGGCAACCACAGTCTTTATGCTTCGGTTTAATCATATTTTGGCAGCTTTGCAATTGTATTCCCCCCTTCCCACCTCTGCTACCACACACATGTAATAAAATATGGCAACGCACTAAAATGACTGCCCCCCCAACCCCTTCAACCACAGTCCAAGGCAATGCATACACGTTAGCAAACCGATTTTCTCAAAAGCCCCAAGTCATCCCCAAACCCACATAGCACAAGGAGAAAAGTGAGAAAGAGAAAAATAAATACAGTAAGCAAACATACCAAAACCATATTTGCCTTGTTCAAGGTCCCAAACCGCTTGCATCTTCCTTCTAAACTGGAATAACTCTCCTTTAGTTTGGCGGGTGAAATAAACGCTTTGTTGGCCCCCTGAAAAGATGTGTCTTTGATAATTAAAGAGACTCTCCTCCTCGGTGTTTATCTAAGCGATTGTGCAAACTGATAAAAAAGTAGGCATTAGTCTGCAGGGAAAAGGAGGAAAGGTGAAGGGAGAGATCTTCCACCTCAAGGAAGTGCTTCCCTGTGTACCAGGCGCTCTCAGCCCTTGGAAAAGCCTGCACACTAACTTTAGAGAGAGACGCGGCTTCAGGGAGCTTTGTACATAGCTGCTGAGGAATGCAAGCCTCGCCTTTAAGAAAAAAAAAAAAAAAAAAAAAAAAAAAAAAAACCCAGACCGTAGGTAGGAGATGTCTGGAGTGATCCTTGTCTCTCATCTGATGCCTTAGAAGGAAGAGTGCGTTGTTACACCTTGTTTGGGGCTGCAAAGAGGAGACTTTAAAAACACCCTTCCAATTGGAAAAAAAAAAAAAAAATCTCCCAACTTAATGACTTTAGTCGGAGGCTGGAGCAACCGGCTCAGCCTTAGCAGAAAACCACAAACAACTATACAACTATAGGCAATATTGCAAGGCAAGACAACCGGAAGCACAGCCAAATTCCAGTTTGGGGTCGAGAGGGATGGAGGCTAATCCTAAAGCAAGTTGGAAGAAAAAAAAAAAAAAAAAAAAAAAAACAGAGGTGGGAGAGGAGGGGGAAAGCTGCAGCCTAGTAGACTGGCAGACAGGGTCCACTCACCCTGGATCAAAGATAGAACTTGAAACAGGAGGCCAACATTTTTTTTTCCTAGGAATCAGTTGGAACCCTCATTTTCTACTTTTAACTCAAGTCGCCCCCACCCAAATGATTTCTCTCTCTCTCCCTCTGTGCATTAGTGCCTCCCTCCCCTTTCTACTGTCCATTCTAGAACTTTCCTGAAGAGGAAATCTATTTCCTTTGGGGGGGAGGGGTTCCCCATTTCAAGCCTTCAAATAATGAATACTTAATTCATCCCCTCCCTTTATCAATCCCCCCAAACGAATAAAGGAAGCAGAGATACAAAACTAGCAAAAACTGAGCCTAGACCGAGCTGCTGCTTGCAGTTTAGCACAGTCTTAACTAATAGATTTTTGCTGTTGTTGTTGTTTTGTTTTGTTTTAAGAGAAGAATAATGGGGAAACATGGATCTTTTATTTTAGGAAACTGTTATGGTAAGATAAATGTCAGACTTGACAAATGGAACTAACCCTCTTCACTGCTTCTTGTCCTTGTCTTAAACAGGAATTAAGTTAAACACAGTGCTGAATGTTAATTACATGTTTACTGGCTAATGAAAATTACAAATGGTTTTGCCACCTCAAACAATGATGAAAACTCTGAAGACACTGTAATTATATACTTTGAGGGAAATAACTCAGAATATTGATCATAAGAAGTGTAAATCTTTTTTTAACTATTCATTAATACCATAAATATGGGCTACAGAAGTTTTTGCTTGTGGTTTGTCTCATCAGTTACACTCAGTGGATGGCTGATGGGACTCCTCCCTAGACAGAGTGAACTGTCTCTTAGAAGGAGGCCACGTGTGTGACTCAGGAGTGCCCCCTCCCTTTTGCCCCGCCCCCTTCATCCCAGCTGAAGGCCCACAGATCTCCAACTGGGAGGCCCAAAGCTCGGGGCAGGTGAAGGTGAGCTCAGTCTGGCCTGTCGTCTCCCCTTCTCTGGCTCTCTTCTCTCCTCCCTCCCTTTTTTTTTCCATGCCAGATCTGATAGATGACCACCTTGCCCAGGCTGGGCGCCTGGGATAACCTAATGAAAGACCAATTAGACCTGGCAACTCATCGCCACCCAGAGATGCAGTCCTTACCACTTCAGCTCCCTCTCTCAGAGGTGGCTAGCGTAGTTCATTACCGGTGAAGAAGGGGAAAAGATTAGGGATGGAGGTGGCTGTTGGGGAAGGTGGCTCAAGCGCTGAACCAGAACTGGGTTTTGCAGTAATTACTTTGTGGTCGTTTTCTTTCAACTTTAGCCAAATTTAGAACACTGGCAGCCACTCCAATCTTGAGGGTCAAAGGTGAGAGATGCACTAACCCTAAAAGGCATGCCCGCCCTGCCTGAAAGACCGAACCAGCAATGGCATGGGGGGTGGTGGCGAAACTGCAGGGCTGGGGTGTGTGTGAAACACACTTGCGGGAGTCCAGCATCGAGTACAGGTTAAAGTGAAATATTGAAGATTTTGAAAGAAGTGTACAAGGCTTGTGGGACTGGAGTTCTCCTTTTCCCTGAGAATCCCAAGGCTCTGGGCTTTGTCTTAGAAGAAATGGAGTTTCTGAATGGCGTGAAAGGGACAGAGAGGGTCGCTTCCAATCGATTTTACTTGTCCTTCCTGCCTTTTCGGATCAACGCCCTTCAATGGACACAGAGGTGCTCTTTCAACCAAAAACTTGTGCTACATTTTCTGCCTGTATTGGTGCTAAATACAATAAGCATTGGGCAGATTTTCTTCTCTTTGCCCTCCAAAGCTAAAAAAAAAAAAAAAAAAAAAAAAAAAAAGCACCCTAATTAAATTGTTTTATATGGACAGTCAAGGCAGACCAATTAAGTATGCATTAGTATAAAGATAGACTCTGCAGATATGGCATTTTAGAAAGCCATAGTTATGACAAAGGCAAGGGCATTAGGGTGTGGAGAGGAGGTGCATGGGCACAATCGGGCGGGCGCCACGGGATTTGTAAAGGCCCAGGCCTCAGGTGAGGGGAAAATCAGGTCAGTTAACAACAGGTGGGCAGGTGGTAATCTTGCAGATTTGCAGACCCAAAACCCCAAGTCTAAGGGCAAAGAAGCCTCCCGAGGGCGACTGGATATTCCTCACAGTCTACAGCTCCCCCAGTTTAGCAGTCCCAGGTGGCAGGACGAGGCCCTGCAGTGCTCACTGTCCATCAGGCCCACTTCCTGTGGTCTCCGGGTCAAGGTGAGGGTATGTAATCATGAAGTTGTGTAGGCGCTGGGGTAGGCGCTGTCACTGCAGCCACCTGGACCCCAGCCCTCTGGCTGCCAAGAGTCGGGGGTGGGGGTGGGGGCTCTCAACACTTCACAGCTAAGCAGCGCGATTTTTGCTCTCTTAGAAAAGACGCTGGTGGTGAAGAGTAAAGTTCCCACCAGAAGACCTACGAGGTCCAACTGGCGAAAAAGACAAGAAGTTGTTGGAGGAGCGGAAAGGCCAAGGGTCACAGAAAGGGTGGCGGGAGGCAGGTTCCTAAAACGCTAGAGCAGCTCTGAGCTCCTCTACCTCTTTTCAGCCCTAGGAGGCAAGGGCAGATGAAGAGTTTCGTGTCCCGAAGGGGACGACCCTCAAAGCAGGGGCTGGGGCCTACCTGCATGGCTACGATAGGTGGTCCTAGGCCACGGGGACTCTAGCGAGTCTCACAATCTCCGCACGGGCTCTCGGGGTGCACAGAGCGCCCTGGGGAGGGAGTGGAGCGTGGAGGAGACAGTGGCAGCCTGGGGGAAGTGGCCGAACGTCAAAAGTAAAAAGGTTGAAAAGGCAGTTTTCCAGACGCGCTTTGCCCCCCACTTCTCTCCTGTCCTAGGGCCTCCCGCCCAGGCTGTAAATCTGCGGCTGGTAGCCAGGGCACCAGGAGTCCCCATGGCGGCGGGTCCGACGCGGCCCCGCCCGCAGAGCGCACATCTCCCGGTGGGCCCCGCATCGATCCCAAGCCTAGTAGAGGATGTCACCGCACTAAATATTTACTGATCACACACGAATAGCCAGGGCTCGAACGATTTTCCTCTGTGAGGAGAGCTCAGAGAGCAGGGTAAATCATTTTATTAGTGTGGATAAAGCCCAGAGCACACTCCGGGCTGGAGTGTTTTAAGATGTGTCTTCAACGGGATGAAAAGAGTTAGGGAAATCGATACGGAGTGATTAGAAGCCCCCGGGGTGAGGAAGGGGGACCTGACTAGCGGGGATTTGGCGGGGCGAAGAGGGAGGAAGCTCAGCCCTGAGGGGGAATGACGGGACTACAGCCTAGGAACTCCAGCGCAGGCCTTAGTCCCTCTGTCCTCGACGGGGAAAGATGACAGCGCAGCTAACGATAAGGGTCGGCTGCCCGGCTTCTCAGATAGGGCTGAACGGGTCGCGGCGGGGCCAATGGCTTAGGAGCCACCGGCTCTGTACCGGGAGTGGTAGTGGCCAGATGGACACCAGAGTTGATGGCTCGGAGTTGATGGCTCGTGTGGAGAGGGGACCACGGACACGTTTCCCCACACATAGTATCTCCAGGAGGCAGCCTGAGTAGCCAAGATGTGGCCCCAAGGCATTTTTATTCTTCGCTTGATATTTTAGGGACGCCTTTT